TACTTGTCTTCTCTGCTCTAACTGGTGAGTCTCATCTGACTCTCTTCAGTATAGTAACCCATGTCAGTCTTTCCCATCTTAAAAGGGAACTAATCTGCTCAAACTGGTAGTCTTTACTTATCATATTATAGGTCCCCATCATTGTTGTTCTCCCCACTTCTCCTCCACCCCTACAATCTGTAGTTGTAGTCCCACCACTTCACAGACATTGCTTTGATAAACTCCCTAAAGGACTTTTTAGAGCTAATGACACTTCAGTGTTTGCCTCATAGCCTCTTGCAGCACCTGCTTGATGGCCTCACCCTTGTTCCAGAAACTTCCCTGTCCTGGCTCCCACGGGGCCAGTTGCTCCTGCTTCTCCTGCCCCTCACACTGCCCTTTGATCCATCGTCCTGAGACACCTATTTCCCCATGTTCTTTGCAGTTCTGTCCCTGGCTCTTTTTTCACTCTAAGGTCCCTCCCTGACAGATCTGCTATTGTCTGTGGCTTCCACAGCTGCCTCCCACAGGGGGCCCTTGAGCCCCACATGGCCATTTTCTCCCTGCATCACCTCCCGTCATACTTAGCACGTCCAGACCCGAGCTCACCAGCCTCCTCCAAAACTGGTCTCTCTCATTTTCCCTGCTTGGCAGTGATCCCCTAATCTATTTGGTGGCCCAGATCCGTAGTTCTCCTTCTCCCTCATCCCCACGATCAGCCAGCTACCACGGAAGTTTAACTCTTCATCAGTGTCACCTGCACTGTTTGTTTGCAGTGCCTCTGAACTCTCCTCCCTGCATCCTCTCTGGGCTCAAATCCATCCTCCATACTGGAGCTGAAAATGACTTTTCTACACTTCAAATTTTGATCCTTTGGCTTTGCTTCTTCGATTGACAAAATGTCAATTCCTGAGTCACAAGGCTAAGACTCAGATGCTGACCACCTTCTCAGCCCTTTCTCGTCGCCTTCCTCACTCACGTGATAAGCTCCTGATGAGATGGAACTGAGCTCTTTTTTAACGTGTGAATCTTTGAATGGGGTATCCCATCCCATCAAGGGGATAACAGGTATTACCTATGTCTGCTGCAAGTCCAAGGATAGGAAATGGATTCCACTCTTGCTGGAAAACCTTTGCCTTTTTCCCAGGCAGAAGTAAGTGCCTGCACCCGTCCGTGGACTCCCTGAAATTTTGTCTTGCCTCTCTGCCAGCATTGTCACAGTGCTCAGCTGGCTGCATGTAGTCACGTTGCCCCCACCACACAGTGAACACCCCAAGGGGAGGAACGTCCTCCCTTGGCCTTGTCCCCAGGCCTTCACCTAGAGCCTGATTATTTCTCCCAAGTTTGCTGAATGAGTGGACGTGTGCATACTGGCAGAGTAGCTTACTCAAAGACTGTCGTCTTTCCTGAACATTTCATTTTGTCATTTTCTCCATCACTATAGGATAGATTGAGGTCATTTTCCTCAGCCCAAATCAGGGGTTTCCATAGTTTACTTCTGTCTGCTTTGTAAGGTATGTATCCCATTTTTTTCTGAAAAGACTGGCCTACTCAGGACCCCTAAACATTCTATTCTCATTGTTGTCTCTGCTCCACAAATTGAGTCTATGAATGGATGAAATGGGGATGGAAGTGAACCCTGCATCTCAAGGCCTGTGTTCTGTGCATCAGACCATTCTGTTATGGGAAGTGAGGCTGCTTGGAATTATTTAGCTTCTTACCCCCGCATAGCCCTCCCTCTTCCTTCTTGTGTTCTGAAGACCCTGGCAGACGTCAGATTTTCACAGACCACCTGATAATAATTTCCCATCATATAAGTGCCAGAGCCAAGTACCATTCCCCCTTTCATTTAAATTAGATAAAACCCTGAGCTGTGGCTTGCGAGTGATGGAAGTCCACTGGGGAAATTAAAGGTTCAGAGAGAACGGGCCCCATTATAATAAAAAGCGTTTGCACCGCCAGTGATTCCATCTACCCTGTGGCTTCTGTGTTCCTTGGGGTGGGATGAAATATGAAGCAAAAGGACCTCTGAAAGTAGTTTGAGGAATTTATTTTAATTGGAAATGGTGGTAGCATTCTGCACTTGGCATGAACTGTGGATCATGCACAGTGGTGGGATCAGTTTTGTATAAAGAGCCATAGAGCTTCCAGGCCACGATGCAGGAGCTCAGCCCTGTCCTGGCAAGTTCTTTCTACCCCTGCGTGTGTACTGATTGTGATCAGAGGCCAGTGGTCCCTCTCACCCACCTGTGTTACTTCCTTCCTTCCTCCCTCCCTCCCTCCCTCCCTCCAGTCTCTCTATGGCATGTGTACTGATTGTGATCAGAGGCCAGTGGTCCCTCTCACCCACCTGTGTTACTTCCTTCCCTCCTCTCTCCCTCCCTCCCTCCAGTCTCTCCATGACTCTGCACAGCTAGTCTATGCTAGCATTTAATCAGTATATAATGGCATCTAAATCAATCAACTGCTCAACCTATAAATTACTCAGAACTATGAGACCTGGGAAGAATTCATGAAGTAGATGTAAAGAATGGCCAGGGTAGGAACAAAGATAATCTGCACTTAAACTCCTAATAGTACAATCACAGCAGCTGATTTCTGTTGGCACATCCTATGTACATATTCTCATTCCATCTCAAACCTTTTATACAGGTGTTCTCTCCATCTCACAAATGAGGAGACTGAAGCTCAGAGCAGTTAAGACATTGGCCCAAGGTCATGTAGCTATTAACAAGTGACAGAACCAGATGTTTCTATCACATAGAGGCAGAAGCTGTATTGAGTGGTTTTGAACTCAAGTCTGACTCAAAAGCCCAAGCTTTCAAGTGTGATGTTACAGTGCCCCCTGACTGAAAATGTTTATATTCTTGAACTAAAAACTTGGATTTGTTTTTTAACATAGGTAATTCTGTCTGGGAGAAGTCTTATCATTAATTCCAAACCCTGGTAATGATAGCAAGGTATCAGTAATGAAGTTGAGGGCTGGGATTGTGGCTCAGTGGTAGAGCACTTGCCTAGCATGGGCAGGACCCAGGTTCGATCCTTAGCACCACATAAAAATAAATAAATAAATAAATAAAGGCATTGTGTTGTGTCCAAATTTTTTTTTAAAAATTTAAAAAAATAATAATGAAGTTGAATCGTATCAGATGTTGTAGACTGCTTTTACAGTTGTTCAATCTGTCTTTACTTTCTCACTTTTGTATTTTTAGATGCATCATCCCATTCAGATGAAACCTGCAGATAGTGAAAAGTCAAACGGTAGGTGGTAACCAACTGTTTCCTTTAATAATGACTGCTTCTTTAAGTTAAAAAGTCAGATGGGGAAGGGAGGAGCCAGTCCCAGCAGCTTTATTCCTCGGGAAGGTGGAGCTCATTGCTCTGGGAGACTTCCACGGTGGTCAGCTCATCTGGAGCAATGCACACTCCAGTTCCTAATCTTATTTATCTCTGATGTAAAGACTTCTGCAATTTTGCTATAAGGGGTGGTTCTCCGTGTCCTTCTGCTTGGGGGCATGCCCTTTGGGATGGTTTTGTGGCATTTGGCACTTACTCAGTATCTTTCCCAATGAAACACAGGGAGCCCAATGGGTGGCAGATGGCATGAGTGGGGAAGGAATTGCCCATTAAAAATTAGGCAACTTTTTTATGTGGTTTTTTTTTTGTCTTTTCCATTTGTTCCTCTTTAACTATCTTATTGCAGTCTTCTCTAAATTATACCAATACATTTGCAGCAGAATTCTGTCTGCTGATTAAATAAAAGTTAAAATATATATATATGCATTTGATGAGATCCATGAATAATTGGGATTTGCCTCTCCAAGACCCTGGAGGGTTGATAGCCCACATTTCTGTCTTAAGTCTTTGCTTCCATTTCTACAAACCTTCTGTCCTTGTTTTGTTCTTTTAATTTACTGAAATGTATGTTAAAAGAATCATCTACCTTCTTAGACCACAGAGCTCCTCTGTCCCACAAGACTGACATAATCAGCACCGTTTCCTTCCACCAGCCAGTTTTGTACCTCATTAATTAGTAATCAGGGCAGAAGCCACGCACTTAGAGATCTATATATCTGCAAATGTAAATTATGATTGGGCTCTAAATCTCTCCACAAGGTATTTTTTTGCTAATTGTAGCACATCCATTTTCTGGCTTCTTCACAGAATAGAAAGTTTTGAAGGAGCTTCCAAGTCTCCATGTGATACCGCCAGCCCTTGGTTTGTCCCAGCTTCCCCCCTCTTGGGGAGCGGACTCAAGTGCCTCCACCCACTGTCTTCTGAGCCCTGTGCTTTGAGTAGTGTGCATTCCCTTTATCTTCCTGTACTGCTTCAGCCATGGCCATGGCCCTTAGTGCCAGAGGTCTGAGCCCTGATGCTGCTTTGCTTGGAGACCATGATCAAGTCGCTCCATTTCCTCATGCAGCAGTTATCCCTTGACCACTTCCTTTGTGCTGGGCGTGTTGCTAGGGGCAGAGGGTGCAGCAGTGAGTTTGAAGAAGAGACGACTTCAAGAGACTGTGTCCCTGACCTTATGGAACATGCATTTGGTCTACTGGTCCACGTACATGGAACTTTGAATCTCCTCATTCATACAATGAGAATGGTGGTAACGAGCTCACATAGGTTGGATTCCAACCCGCTCCTTCCAGAGACTCAAGTGAAATATTTGTAACATTCCTGGTGATAGATCCCTTCCATAAAATGCTAATTATTGTCATCACCTGGAGATATCCCCTGGCTTTATATGGCTCTTGGCTGAACATGGTACCTACATAGAAGGCCTTTTTCTGTGTGGATTCCTGGGAGTTCCTTTGCCCCAAGGGACCTGCCCAAAGCTTGCTGTCTTTACTGGCAAACTGGAGAGATGAATCTTGAGTTTGTGGGATGAATCCCATCAGAGCTGGTCTTCTCAGAACTTCTGGCCCCCCAAGAGATGGTCCCTGTCCTTTGGCCCCATTATTTTCTAAACTATGTCAGGACAAGGGCCATGGAATGAAAGTCTCTGAGAAAGGATCTGCTTTACTTCTGAGCCTGGGGTTGTATTCATGACAACATGAAGCAGCTTCTTCTGTACTTTCCGCTGTGCCTGTGCACAACCTGGCTGAGGATTCCTGTCCACTGACAAGCTGCCTGGAGTTCTGAGTGTTTTGTTGCTCTAGCTGTGACATGGCTACTCTGGACACAGGGAATAATGTTTGCTTTGGTTCTAGAACCACAGCAACAGAATAAAACCAGCATGTTATAGGTGGCTCTGGTTTTATGTGATCTCAAAAGCCAAGGAACACTAGGCACCGTTACTGCTAGGTTAAGAAAGTACCTGAAAGTGTCCCTCATTGAGAAGCAGCATTAGGGTAGCAGGCAAGAACTGTTTCCAGAAGTCTGAGTTTGACTCCTGGCTCTGCGATCATCAGCCATGTACTTGGGCAAGACACTTGACTTCACTCTGCCTCAACGGCTTCACCAGAATGAAGTATGAACTCTTGGGTCATGCCTCCCTTAATGATTGGTAGTTACCCAAATTGACATCTATAAAAATCTTAGCAGAATACCTGGCACATGGTGAATATTCAGGGTGCTGCATTACACTAAATTAACAGCATAATTCCACTAGCCAAGGGAGATGTTTTGGTGTGTTCTAAGTGACAGCAGCTGACATGTCTAAACTTAGGCCATTCATCCCACATGGTGACCTGTATATAAAACAAGAACCCCCCAAACCTTGCAGTGGAACCAGTTCAGTTCTCCCTTTGCTTTGTAGGATGATCTCCATTTTCTGAATTTCTAGTCAGAAAAGCCAAAAGATATAAATGAACATTTATAAAAGATATAAATGAGCTACATTTCAAGAGTTCCGCCTTACAGAGGCTCAAATGGAACCACACCTTGTACACACATGAACAGGTTTCATGATTCCCTTTGGCTCTGATTTAGGAATCAGAAGAAATGTATAATTTTCTAAAGCAAGTGATAAAAGCTGCAGCCTTTTCTGATTCCACAAGGCATTTTTGACAGGTAAGCATAGTTTGAAAAGCTCAAAGAGCACAAAGATTTCTTTGGCTCGGATGCTCTAAATAGCTCCTGTAGCTGTGAAAGAAGTATAACGAGCTCTAATTGCACTTTTATTGAGTTTGCTGACATTTATGCACAGCACAAAGGACTCATCACAGTTAGACAGTTACTGTCTTCATTATCTGTGTTCAGATTTCTGAAACTTTGTTATTTGCTGAGCAAGAAAGGGCTGCTAATCACAGATCAATTAGTGATGGACAAATGAATTCCAGAAAGCAATCACCCTTTGAAGCCCATATCCATCTAGAGATTCTGATAAAGGGAAACCCTCTGTGGTGAGCCCAGAAATGTTAGGTTGACCTTGGATCAGCCCTAATACTTCCAGATTCTACTGAACAGATTCCTAAATCTCCAGGGCTTCCTGTAGCCGCTCTCTCAGTTGGCTCTGATTTAAGCTGCAGCCTCTAGCATATTCTTACAAACTCACCATATTTTGTTTCCACCCGTGTGCTTCTATTGTGCCAGGTGTCCAAAAGAAAAGCAAAAATCCAATTCTAAAAAAGGTGTTGGGACCATTAAGAAGAGCACATTGAAATATCCAATTATCAGTAGACTCCAACTTTTTTGCTGTTTCTTCATTTTTGTTTTATTTTCATTGAAGAAAACTGAGTGATGGGTGTGGATTTGAGGAGGGTGTGGATTTAGCACAAACATAGTTTCTCTGAGCCACCTATACAACTATATATATCATCCAGCTTTGACTCCTGTCTTGCTGTACAGTAGATGGTACCAGCTGTGCAAGACTTTAATGCAGTTGCTAACGCCAGTCTCACAGTGAGGGATGAAGGAGCATGGAGGTTGCCTCAGGTCCCATGCCTGGGTCTCTGACTGGAGCCAGTGTTGACTTGGGCCGTGCTTCTTTGAGAACAGGATTGTTACCACTCAGCAGACAGAGCATCTAAATCCACCCTGCTTTAACCTTCCAACCTCACTACTTGTCAAGGGTTCTTGAGGCCTAGGATCCAGAAATAACTATTTAAGACCACTGTCTCTTTTTCTCAAGGCCTCCCAGACCTCCAGTATCTGTGCATCCAGTTTAAAGCCAGCCGGAGGAGTCCAGATAACTAAATATTGTCGGGGAAGGGTAAAGACCCGAAAGCCTCCATCAAAAACAGGATCACAGGGGGCTTCCGTCCAGTTACTTTCTGATTTTACTGGAAGATGAAGAAATAATTTTGAAATTCAAAGTGGAGAGACTCACAGATTTGGAGGCAGTAATTAAATGCCATATGTTAGCACTAACACATTGAAAAGTTGTTAATTAATTCAGGCAGCCCCGAATCCAGGTGTGACTTTGACAGATTGTGCACCAGGGTGTTAGCACAGACTTACAATTAGAGATTTTTTTTTTAAATGAAGTTTCTATTCCCCTAACTTTAAAAAGTCACCCTTATACTTAAAATGTTAACCCTTTCTCACTATGCCATGGAGAAGTACTTCCAGGTGACCACTGGTGTGGAACCCTTCCTTCTGCCATTGTTAGGGGTGATGGAGCTCCCGATACCTAGAGATATGTCCCTGTGCTCCTTCAGTGGCTGTCCTAGAGGAAATAACTTTTCCCCTAGGGGCAGGGAACTTACCTTTTCATTGTTTTGGGTTTTTTTTTTCCTTTTAATTCCCCTAAAATACCTGGCAGACTATTGCAAATACAGTAGGTTCAGTTAAGTAATCCATATCCTAATAGATTAAAAGAAATAATTGAGACACTTACTGCCCATGAATATTTAGGAAAAACTCACCAGCAAAGTCATCAAAAAACGATGAAAATTTTAAAGTGAATTCAAGATATTTATGCTTATTTAAAATGTTTACAAAGCTGTTAGGGATCTTTAGAATGGGAATCCTGGGAATAAATTTTATGAATACATTTTTCCTGGAAAACTGGAAAAACTCAGTGGAGAGGAAAGCAGGATATAATTGGTCATAGCCATTTATCTATCAAAGCATACGTGACCCAACTGTGAAAAGCCCAGAGCAACTTGGGCAACTAGAAGATGGTGAATGTCCAGTTTCTTTTGTGAGCCCACCTGGTGCAGAGAAGGAATTTAGCCTTTAGATTAGCATATATATGGGATGATGTGGGTTTCCTTTCCCCCCACCAATCCGAGGCCTCACACATGCTAGGCAAGTGTTCTACCACTGAGCCACAAATTAGCCCAGTACTTGTTTTTTAAAATTAGACTTGTTTTCCTTCTCACTGCCTGGCTGAGTTTATCCTTAGTGATGGTTGGGAAGTTTGGAATCCCTCATAAGTGCTTTCCATATTCTTAATATTCATCTTAGGAAAAAATCAGTTTTAGCTTAGGAGCTGCATGTTTAATTTACTACAACATCACCCTGGAGCTCAAACCTGTGAATTATTTTAGTTAAACACCACAGTTATAGGTTTACCAGTCAAACCAGGGACCAAATGAGAATTTTTTCATTTGTTTTTTGTTTAAAAGAACTAAAAATCAGATTCTTCAAGGTAAGAAGAAATACATCAGGACTTTTGTTTGTTTGTTTTAATTCTCATGAAGACACCGGGCATAGTTTCATGGAAATGAGAGTCCAGAGGTGAGAGGGAAGAAGTAGTAAGAACTGCAGACTAGAAGTCTTTCCCTCCCTCCTCTGCCCCATTTCAGTCAGTTCTACCCATCTCCTCAAGCACGTCCTACATGGCCACAGTCCTCATGTGTGAAGGAGTCCAGGCATCATAGCATGCTGACCTTGGAGCCTACAAAGTTTCCTTCGTAAATAAAGCTCCGTGGAGCATATGGTGTTTCTAAAGCTTAGCTTGTGCTCGACTACTTGGCTTTTGCCAGTTCACAGTAGACCACTGGTACTTCACTTACTATAAAGGTAGAAAAAAAGTATTTCACTTGAAAATTTTTATCTAAATAAGGGGAGTCAGGTTGTAAACAGCCTCTCTCCCAAGAATCAGAACCCGTCACCTCTGTAGCTCATGTCTCCTTTGCATCTCCAACATGAGCAATGAACTTTGACTGTCTGATGCTTCCCATCCCTTGAGCACCTCCTCTTCAGATGAAGCTGGAGCCAGTGTTATTGTACTCAAGTCAGGCTGCTTTCCTCCATCCACCTCAAAGACAGTCTCTTAGTCCTGTCTCAGTACCTTATTCTCCCAGCCCCTGCTAGTTTAGACAGACCCTGCCTGTGCTTCTCGGGATCCAGTTTGAATAGACCTTCAAAGAACCCTAACGTTTCTCAGTTATCTTAGGAGCTATCACAGATATGGAGAGACTAGGTGGAAGGGATTCTGCATACCACTCTGGTGTCGCCATCATCCCCAGCCCAAATGCTTCTGTCAGTCCAAGCATATAGCTGGGCCATCAAGTTCATTGCTCATGTTTGAGATGCAAAGGAGACATGAGCTACAGAGAAGGCATTCTCTACAGTGCTTAGGAAAAAGAATAGAGTATGAACCTTCATCTTATGAATGACAGGACTGAGGTCCTAGAAGTCAGGTAGTCCCCAAGGTCTCCAAGGTTGCACATCAGGTTTAAGGGCAGCACTGGAACTAGAACCTTCGTCTCCCAGTCACAGCCACTGATGTTCTCCTTAAATCTTATCTGCTCCCTCTGAGCTTAGAAGAAACACAGGAGAGGGAAGAGGACACTGGGCTGGGAGTAGGAAACTGAGTTGTGGTCCAGGGTGGACTAACCCTAGGCAAGACCCTTCCTCCTGCCAAGGCCTCAGGGATCTGTCTCAGAGATGGACAAGACAAAATGTCTCTCATGTCTCCTGTTTCCAGTCTGGGATTCTGTGACAAAGAACATGTAGCTGTCTCATTTAGGGTCTAGGTTCATCAGAGTTATAGTAGTTATGTGGGGCTTTTAAACTTTAATCAACCTTTCCTCGATAACACTAGCCCCCTTTAAAGGGCCTTTGTGGTCACACGTACCTTTAACTGAGTACTGGACAGCACAATTGTGGGACTTCTGGGTCACTTCTGAGTGTTCAGCCAGAGAGAGCAGCTTCATCGTGGCCTACCAAGTTACACCACTGTCCCATGAACAGACCTCCCCAGGGACCACACCACGAATTTTAACTTGGGTTCCAGAAGCAGCTGGCCCCCATAAGTCTAGAGTAAATATTTATTGGTTAAGTGAAAATGAGATACTGCCCAGGTAAGAACTATTAAAAAAAAAACAGAAATAAAAGCCAATTGAATAGCAGTGACGTAGTTATGACTTGGGTTCAGAACAAAGGTTTGTGCATAGCACCTTGGAACAGCACCCTTCCCCTAGGCCAGGGTTCTCCGTGGTCTGAGGGTAACTGGCCAGCCTTTTTTCATTCTTCTTCTTCTTCTTCTTCTTCTTTTTTTAATTGAAATGAAGCAATGGAAAATAAGCAGGACTTCTCCCCACAAGCTTCTCTATGATGCCCTAAAAAAAGGTCTGTCTCCTAAAAAAGCCTCCACGGACTGTCCTGAAATGAGTTATAAGCCTGCCTTTCAGGCTAAATGTAAGTCACATGTCCTGAGGACAAGCGTGGAGATTTTCAGGAAAATTTCCCAGATCATCTAAAGTAAAACTTGCCTCATCTTTCCCTCGTCACATTCCCATTTGCACATCTTGTCATGATCCCCAAATGCATCTCTCTGTCCTTCAAGAATCCTTCTTTCAAGTGGCTGGAATAGTGGCAGTCCTTTCTCCCTCTTCTTTTATCAAGGTTTCACCCCATCGTGGACCATCAAGGTGATTCTCAGGTAGCAGTTGCCTGTTCTTTTCTCTGCTTGCTAGAATGGCTGCTGGGACCCAGGTGTGGAACCTAGTTAGTGCTCCACAGCCATGGGCTAGAGTGTCCCAGTCTGCAGAGAAGCAGGACTTTAGGATCTCTTATTCCTCTCCACATCAGTGAGGACTAAGGTTTTATGAACAGGGGAGAAAGAATGTTTTCTTCCCTTTAGAGTCTTTGTTGATGAAGTTCCATTTATTGATTCACAGCATTTGCTCCTACTGTTTTCCCTCTCCTGAACTTTATCTTTCCCTGTCATTAGAGTTAAAAGAACATCTACAAAAACCCCAAACTAAAATCTGCATCCAAAAAACGTCTCTGTGAAATGCGTGGCGTTTAGCAGTTACATCGTAATCCTAGCCAACACCTGGTGTTTGTGAAAGGGACCTCCCAGGGTTCTGAGCCCTAAGAAGATGTCTGTATTAGCAAGAGCAGGCTTGCCTGCTGAGAGGTGAAGCATTTGGGAGGGCAAGGTGAAGGGACAGGCGGGATGAGGTGCAGAGTGGAGAAAGAAGACAAGCTGGGGTTCCGACTTAGCCTTAGGACTGTGATCCATCTCGCCTGGCAGGGTCCTGGTTTGCTATAGTAGCGAAGCATTGATTACAAGAAAAAAAAGATGAAATGGGCTTTTCTCATTCATTATTTTCATCTCCTAGCCGTGGAAGACAGAAAACTGTTCATAGGAATGGTTTCGAAGAAATGTAACGAGAACGATATCAGAGTGATGTTTTCTCCATTTGGCCAGATCGAAGAATGCCGGATTCTCCGGGGACCCGACGGGCTGAGTCGAGGTGAGTGTGCCTTGTATGAAGCCTCTTTCCTTAAGTGCTAATTGGAGCTCTGTGTCACAGTCAAGATAGATGTAGGCACCGCGTACAGCAGGAGGTCACTGTGTAATACGTCCCATGTGATGAAGTTATCCAGCCTGAACTTTTTCACAGTCGCTGAAGTGATCACCTTTTACTTCCCAGGTAGAGAAGGTCTGAGTGCCAGCATATTAGCTCAGGTCATCACTGTCACAGGGGAAGCTGACGGGCTGCCCTGTTACTGCACATCCCTTTTCAACCTCAAATTGAAGTAGATTTTGAGGGGTGAGGAGATGTGGAGGGTGAGAACGGCTTTGTGTGTTTCCGCCTTAGTCTTCTGGCTGTCTGCCTGTGCCTGAAGGAAACCGTAAGGGGATGTTCCTCTTATCAGCCATCCAAGCCAAGAAGCAGTGTCACGGCCCATGTGCAGGGCAGGACAGATACGGGCTCCGTGTAACTGGGTCTGTCCAAGGTTCAAAGAGTGAAGTCCCTGGAATCCCCAGCCCAGGACAGAAAAATGCCTGCCCTGAAGAAGATTGTTGGCTCTCCTTTGCTACCATGATGGAAGCAAAAGTTGTGGCTGGGAGCCAGGATGAAGACCAGTGTTTTTTCAGCAACTCTAGAAAATAGCTGGAATTGGCCGTTCTCTTCCCACGTCTGCCTCCTCCTTGACAAGACCACACAAACCTCCTTCCCTCAACCACGCATGAAGGTTGACATGAGTGTTAACAGTTGTCTGACTGCAGTTTTCAGACCAATCTGAAGTGGAAACCTATGTGCAAAACATTTTTCAGGTTTTTTTTTTTTTTTTTTTTTTTAAGAAATCCACATTTTTGAAACATGGGGAGGTTTTCCTTCTCAGCGCAGTTCCCAGTGCAGTTTCCATCGGGCACATTAGGAACTGTGTTCATTTTCAAGTTCTGGTTCTGGGCCATCAGTAGCACCCAAGCCACATGCAGAAAGAAAAAATTGGGCCGTAAGTATCAAGGTGCCAATGTTTCCCCATCTCACTAGTTTTACCTAATTCGAGCACCAAGCGAGGAAGAACATTTGGGTTTTTTGGGTTTTTTTGTTTTGTTTTGTTTTTTGACATAATGCTTCATGATGTCAGCTGCTAGAATTGAGAATTGAAGGCCCAGAGAACAAAAGTTCTACTTACATCTACCTCCAGAGCCCTAAAATGGAGGTAGTCTAGAGGAAAACTAAGAGGAGGCAGAGCAGAACCCAGATTTGGATACCTGAATTTTCTTTGGAAAGTGGCTTAAAGTGGGGGGATCAAAAAGGGCAGCAAGGAAATCGCAATTTAACATTCTCTGACACTTCTGAAATGTTGTTTGTTTAACCCTCGCTTCAAAGAAGTGATTTTTCTAAAAGTTGAACAGGATATTAAGTAGAATACCTAAATGGCAGATCCAGTGCCTGAGGCTCCTCTGTACCTGAGCTGCTGCCACTGTCAACCAGAATTGTCCATTGTTGTGATAGACACAGGTCATCAGGAGTGCCATCCTGGCCAGGCCAACTCTTATCACACCTGGCCATCGGATTGTCCTGCTGTCATTTTGTTTATGTAAACATCTCCATCCACACACTCAGGCAGACAATACCATGAGGCCGGACACAGTGGCACATGCCTATAATCCCGGCAACTTGGGAGGCTGAGGCAGGAGATTCACAATTTCAAAGCTGGTCTCAGTATCTTAACAAGGCCCTAAGCAACTCAGCTAGATCGTGTCTCTAAATAAAAGATTTGAAAAGGGCTAGGGAATGTTGCTCAGCGGTTGAGCACCCCTGGCTTCAATTCCCAACACCAAAAAAATAAAAAATAAACCAAAATAAAAAGAATACACTATGAAGAGACAGTGTAGCCAAGTGAGGGAGGAAGGATGTAGGAAAGACATGATGACCTTTTTGTGATCCTCTTTTGGCTGCTGGTTTAATTGGAATCCCTAGCCCCTGCTGCTGTTATTCTCAGTCCCATGTTAGCAAAGTTGCATTTTTCATTCCCCAATGTATAAAACATGGAGAAAGGACAAAAAAGGAGGCCCTTAAAGTAATCACAGTGAGAATTATGGAAGCTTAGAGCTCACTGACCCCAAGTTCCAGTCTGACACAACATGTGACCTTAGTTGATTCCTTTTCCTAGCTCTATTCCTCAGTTTCCCATGTGTTATTAAGGATAGCAGGAAAATCTCTGCCCTGCTCCTCTTGTAGGGAGTCACTGCTCGCTGGGGTGGTGGCCTCACTGGGGTGGTGACTTAGTAGATAGCTAGGAGCTGAAGTGCTGGGTTCTGCTCAGCTCGGCCCATTTCACCTGGCTCCCAAGTCACTGTGTCCCTCTGTCCTGTGGGGACAGGAATGATCAGCACTGGTGCCCCATGGCATCAAGAGCTCCCGGAGCACACATTAGCTCTTTCTGCACACAGGATTTGAAAGCAGCCACGACTTCCATGGGAAAGAGCAGGACACACGTATTTAAAAGGAGAACTTAGCTAATTTGATGTGCCATTTGGTTGATTAGCCAGCACTTGACACCAGAAGCAGCCTGTTTCTGAAACAAGTTGTGGGAGCCCACTCATCAATATTTTATGCAAATGCTGGCCCGATGAAAAGAGTAGAGTACCCCTCCCCCCTTCATTTTAACGGAAAAATAATTTCTGGTGAACTGATGAGAATTCCCTAATGGAAAAAAGAAAATACTCATTTATAACCATTTGTTCTGAAATATAAAGACAGACAGTGGCACTTTTTTTCAATTAGCGGGACCCAGGGACTCCTGGATACAGGGGCCTGCTCCTGAATCAGTGTATTTGTTAAAAGAACAATTCTCTTCCTGCTACTATTTTGCTTTCATTAAAGAATTTCAGTTTTCAATCAAATATTGATGAGTGCCTCCCATTAACGGTGTCGCAGATAAAGGGCGCTCAGCATTTCTTTTTCCCAATGTCTATTGCTGGCTCCGCTATTTAGAAAATAAATGAAAATTAAGTGACACAAGCTTGGCTGCTCTGAAAAGCACCTCCTGAAATCAAACCACGTTATAAACTATGCAGTAAAAAAGTTCTTAAATCAGAATATTTGGTTAGGAGAGTGAGGTGCAGCCCGGTGGTTGGTTGCTCCTTTCCCTGCTTTTACGAACTTCAACTGTAGCAATGGAAACAAAGGGAGCATTTAGCCTCACTGGCTCCCCCACGGGTTCCCTTGTCATTTCTTCAGGCACATCAATAGTCTCAGCTCCTCCCTAGTATGCATTACGCTGAGGTTTCCCAGGCTTGCTGACACTTATCCTCACTGCATCAGCATGGAGGACCAACAGAGCCCCCAGATGTACCTGTCACACCCTGCTAGACCTTAAATTAGAGTCACTGTCTTTTTTTAAAAAAATAATAATTATCATCTACACCTTGGACAGAAAGATTATTTTTAAAGTCCCATTGCTGGTCACCAGCCCCAGCCCCACCCCACCTTCCAGGGCAGTAATCTCAGGAAATGGTGGCAACTTGCTTCTTGAAAACCACTGAGCACCTGCCAAGCACATGAAGCTCCTCTGCGAGGTTAGGACTCCGCCCCACTTTAGACAATCTACCCACATCCAAGTACGCATCTCCCCTTGGGGGTGGTAACCCATTCTTTCTGCCCTCTCTTCTGTTTCTTCTGTTTTGAAAAACATGGTTTGTGGTGCTTTCAGGAAGCTTCATGATACTCAGACTCCTGTGCATGGCAGCGTGACCTCCCGAGGCCTGCTGCGGGGAACCTTCACTGCAAACACCAGCAGGAAACCACAGGCCCACCCATGGCAATCCAAACGAGATGTTTGCTCACAAAAGCAAAACTCGGTTTCTAAACAAGTGTATTGGTCTGACATTATCAGCTTAGCATGTTGATTTCCTAACGCATCCATGTTCTCACCCATAATCCTACAGTCAGAATGAGCTGTCTAGGTACATCCTACAAAGTTTTCTGTACTGTAACAGTTGAATTATCTGTAATGTGGAGACAGTGAAGAAATTTATTTCATTTTTCATTCCCATAAACTGTAGTCAAATCTTCACTACCATTTAAGGTAACTTTCTGCTTGTTTAAGATATTCCAGCTGTGTTTATGGTGTTCCAACATTCCCCTGCCAAAACCCTTGACAAATGAATTGGCAATATTTGCGGGGATGTTGGAGAGCACAGGCTGGAGTTAGCCATTAAATCTTCATCTGTTTTTGTTGTATCTGATCAAGATGTTAGGACAGGGCTTTTGACTGCCCAAACATCTACATGGAGAAGACTCGGTTTTGATTATGTTAGCCCTGTCCACACAATACCTAAACATTCAGATATGTGGAAACTTTTTATCACATACTTCCTGGAGTATTGACTGCATTTTGCCATCTTGTTCTGAATTCAATCTTCCAACCTCATCTCAGTGATGAGATCTTGCCAGCTATGAAATAGGTTGAGGTGCCATAATGAAGAACATCTCCATGCCAGTGTTAATAAACTAACCCAACACTGGGGCTGGTGCAGTAGAGGACTAATTTTTATGTCCCACTATTATGCTGATACCATGTGTTCAGTCAACCCTACCACCACTACAATGATCCAATAAGAAAAATTGACTGCATTAATGCCTTTGTTCAACTGAGAATTAATAAACACCTTTCCATAGGTTAAAATCTCTTCCTTGCTGCACAAGTTACTTTAAATTATGTTTCTTTCAGTTGAAATGTAGCAGGCTGCCACACCTTTTTCAAAGAAGTAGCAAAAAAAAAAAAAAAAAA